CCAACGAGCCGGTGAACTGCCCGCCATTATGCTCCTCATGCTGCAGCTGAGGTGGCCGCTCTTCTTCCCTCAGCAGCCATCACAGGGCTGCATGAACCACCTTGCACTGAGGGGGTGGGGGGAAGAGAGAGGAAGAAAAGCCAACAAGCTGGTGAGCTGCCCTCCATTTTGCTCCTCATGTTGCAGCTGAGGTGACCTTTCTTCTTCCCTGAGCGGCTATCACAGGGCTGCATGAACCACCTTGCACTGAGGCAGGAAAAGAGAGAGGAAGAAGAGCCAGCGAGCTGCCCGCCATTTTGCTCCTCATGTTGCAGCTGAGGTGGCCTCTCTTCTTCCCTCAGTGGCCATCACAGGGCTGCATGAACCACCTTGCACTGAGGGGGGGGGAGAGAGGAAGAAGAGCCAACAAGCCATCCACCATTTTGTTCCTCGTGTTGCAGCTGAGGTGGCCTCTCTTCTTCCCTCAGTGGCCATCTCAAGGTGACACAAGGCGACTTTGGTCCAGCTACACTCTCTCTGCCCTTCCCCTAAAACAGGTAGAGGATTGTGTGGTTGAGTTTTTCCAGCCTACAATAAATCCCCCGCACGTAGAAAACAAGCATGTCAAGGAAAGGGGGAAGCGCCATAAACAGAGCTAGCCTGCAGGATTTTTCTCTTTGTTTTTTTTGTACGGTGGTGGAGCATTCCTTCAGCTCAACCCAAACTGTAGTCTCAAGGTGATGCAGGTCCGCCACCCCAGTGGAGAACTGGGGTCTTACTGGCCCTGTCTTACCCTCTCCTTGAATGCTTTTGCCTGGTTGGCATGTAACTTTGAGCTCTGATAATGCCTCTTGCTTGTCTGGATGGGGAGACATGAGAAGAGTGTGTATAGAAACTAACCTACTGTGCACAGGTAACAATTGCATTTGTTGCTTCACCTGCTTTTCGCTCCTGGTCTCCCAGAGTGGAATGTGACCCACTGGCTTAAAAAGGTCCCATCCCCCCACTGGATATGAAAAGGATCTGGTAGTGAACTTTGGACTGCCCTGCTGGTTTCTGTATATTGAGCTACTGTTGGAAAGGAACACAGCACCCCAAGGTGATGGCTAAAACTCTGAAAGCTTTTTTCAAATATTGAGCCAGGACCGGCCCTGCCATTAGGCATTTGTTTCTAGCTGGCAATACAGGAGGAGAGGGGAAGCAGCGAGGCTCACCTGTGCTGAGACCAACTGCAGTTGGTTTCCTCTTTCAGAAGAGTTTCCTGCAGTGACAGGGCCAAAGTTACCCCCCTTTTAATTTCCACTTCCGGGTTCAGTACTCTGAGCAGCACCAAATAGCTGGATCTAGCCATCCTTTCTGTTTCCCATAATGCTTCCAGGCAGTGATGCATTGTGGGAAATTAGACGCTTGAGCCAGACCCAACACAGGCAGGTAATCCCACTTCTCGAGGAGTGAGACCACCAGAGCCCCTCAGACCTGGAGTCAACCTATTTCCGCTGGCCATTATGCAATGACATTTTGTGGTGGTGGTTGTTTAGTCGTTTAGTCGTGTCCGACTCTTCATGACCCCATGGACCCATTACCTGGGTTCATTTCATTTTCCTCTTCTCTCCCCATTCTATGCCCCTTTTGTGCTCTCTTTCTCTCTTTCCCTCTTAGGTTGTAAGCCCTTGTTATAAAATAAAAATCTGGTAAGCAAATTAAAGGGTCAAATACACAAACGTGTGTGTCCAGTTCTTCTGCAGGAAGTAATTATTAGCGACGTAAAGAAGCCACAGAGCAGTTTATTTCTCTCCAGCACGGTGAGAGGTGGCAGCTGTTGCTAGGACTACCAGAGACCTTGTTCCAATTCTTATTACTGGCTGGAACCATCTCCACACTTTGCACATTTACGAACAGAGCTGGCTTAATCTCCCCAGCAGCAGAAATGCCAGGACTGAATGTGCAACGTGAGGAACACCGTGACATACATATATATATATATACCATGCTTATTGAAAAAGAGTTGACAAACTGGAAAGAAGCAAAAGCAGGCTCTGCTGAACAGCCATTGAAAGCTGTTCATATCATGTCAACAGATTTACCTTATTGAAAACAGTCCGAGTGAATGCGAGACTGAAGGGTTGTTGGCTGTTGGCACACACTGAATAGCACAGCACATCTTTGAGCATGGAACGTGATGAAGATTTCATGTTTGGAAAGGGGGAAAGCCCTGTGATTTTCAAGTCTTAAGACTGCAAGTCCAAGAACTGAGATTACTGAGAAAAATGCTAGAATTGTCTCCTTCAAGAAGGAGCAGGTGTCTGAGAATGTTGGGCTTGGAAGGTTTCCTGCACATCCAAGATGAATTTTGGAACTTTCTTCCGCATACCTCTCTTGGGCAAGGATGAAGGTTGGCGTCCCTCAATGCAGCTGGGCCTAGCTCCATCCTCATTTAGAGATGCTCAGAACCTACCAGGCTCCATCGGGGAGATCTGAGAAGACTCCCTGGAAAAGACCCTGATGTTGGGAAAGATTGAGGGCACAAGGAGAAGGGGACGACAGAGGACGAGGTGGTTGGACAGTGTTCTCAAAGCCACAAACATGAGTCTGACCAAACTGCGGGAGGCAGTGGAAGACAGGAGTGCCTGGCGTGCTCTGGTCCATGGGGTCACGAAGAGTCGGACACGACTAAACGACTAAACAACAACAAAGCTTCATCTCTCCCATTTCTAGACATTTTAAGACTTCCACCTTATAAAATTACCTCTCCCCCAGCCTTCATTTAATCCTCCCCATTATGTTATGAAATTCCTCTTGAAAGAGTTTTGGGCAACACTGATGAAGGCAGATTAACCATTTTGCACCCAAATGATGCAACACTTGTGGAATGTTCTCCCCAGGGAGACTCACCTGGTGCCTTCATTACGTATCTTTAGGTGCCCAGTGAAAACATTCCTTCTCCCAGGCCTTTGGCCAATTAAACAATCTATGGGTGGGTGTTGTTTTTGTCTGTTATTATGGTATTTTTATATCGCCCTATGCTCTTTAGATGAAGGCGGTATAGAAACTTAATAAATAACAACAACTCCATCACTGAATATGTATGACTGGAATAAATTTACTATCTCAGGTACCATAGGGAAATAGAAAACAGCCTCCCGCAACCTAGTGACCTCTGCATGGACTCCTATCACCCCGGACTGCTAGCCATGCTGGCCAAGGCTGATGGGAATTGGAGACCAACATTAGTCTGGGGAAGAGTGGTTCTGCGCTATACATTTAAAGCAGTATCATACCACTTTAAACAGTCAGGGCTTCCCCCAAAGACTCCTGGGGACTGAGCCATTGGGAACAGAGGCATACCTAGGCTCCCTTGCAACCTTAGCAACAGAGGTGCCGACTTGGGCCTCAGATTATGGGTGTCCAATGGCACCCACGACGTGACGTCATGACGGTGTTACATCATAGCATCACGTTACATTGGCTAACTGGAACAACCTGGAAGTTGCAGCAGATCCCTGCGGTGTGGGTGCCCTGGCCCTAGAGTTGGCACCAGTGCTTAGCAAGAGCTGCAACAGTGCCTCCAAAGTTGGGAGAGACCATGGACATGAAACTAAAAAAGTTTGGACAAAAGAAGAATGGCAGACGAAATTAATGGACTATGCAGAATTGGACAAAATGACAGGAAGGATTCGAAACCTGCGGGACCAGAGATTTACAGAAGATTGGAAGAAGTATATGCATTACCTGAAGAGCAACTGTAATCAACAAATTACGCTAGTAGGACTACAAGAAGTTTTGTAAGGAGAACTATACAAAGTGTTACAAAGTAGAAAAAGATAAGAGATACTGATTATGAGTTTGAAATGTAATAGGGAAAATAAGAAATGCATACTAAGAGATTAGATTGGAAAATTTTCAGACAGGATTGATGGAAGTCAAAAAAAATGAATAAGATGTAAAAGTATGTTTAATTACTGTTGAAAATGATATGTTAAAAAACTAATAAAAAATTATTTTTAAAAAAGAAACTAAAAACGTTTGCTTTTCGTCGCCTTTCTTGCTCTGCCAGTTGGCTTCCTCCACAGCTACTAGGGCTGAATCTGCTCTTGTCCTCCTCCATCTCCATCTCCTCCTCCACCACCAGCCCGACTGCCTACCTGCCTCCGCTTTGCTGCTTTCCCTTCTGCCTCCTCCCTCCCTCCCTTTCTCATCCTCTTACAAGTCTCACCTGCTCTTTCTTCCCTCTAAGCTCACACTTCCTAACTGGGAAAGGAGCCCCCAAAGGCTGTTGTAACGGCCCATGCCAGCGATCAGGTAATGTGTGCTGAGCTGTGATCCATCGCCAGGTTTTTATACCGGCTCTTGTTCCAGTAAAGAAGAAGGTCGGTGACATGACGCCTTTTCTCTTCTCTTTAATGGCTTTTAATAATATCGGGGAGCCTTGCGACTCACCTTTTACCTGCTGATTTGATTGCAGCTTTAATTGTTGCCTGCCTCCATTGCTTCATTTGCTGGTAGTTAATTGTATTTTGGTCTCCTATAGCATAAGCTGCTTTTAAGGCCATTTTGGGAAAAGGCAGGACAACAAACACACAAACACAGATGATTAGGGAAGTCATGGGAAGTTGACGCCATGTAACAAAGCAAGGAGCTTTGCACTTAATTTTGCACGCCTGGGTATTTGTTTTGTTTTGTGGTTCTGATGCGCCAACTGTTTTTCTTGCTTTATACCTGCTGAAAAGTTGAATTAAAAAAATAAATAAATAAAAAGGACCTTAATGGATAGCAGGTATCCATTATGCACATTGTGAAGCAATTCAGTGGGATAACTGGTACGCTTTAAAAACCATGCAACATGTAGATCTGCTCTGCAGTAATGGTTGTGTTATATATAGTATTTGTACTGATCTGTCATCACACCATAGTAACAGCCTGAGCCACTAGGGGGCACAAGAGGCGCATGAACTAAGCTGAAGCTTGGAATCCACCCCGTCCATATAGGTCACCTCATGAAGAGGATGGTGGGTGGGGCAAGTGCCTGCTAGCTCTGTTGGTAGAGCATGAGACTCTTAATCTCAAGGTTGTGGGTTTGAGTCTCACAAGGGGCAAGATTCCTGCATTGCATAGGGGTTGGAGTAGTTGACCCTTGTGATCTGTGACCTGCCCAGTGGGGAGGCTCCTTCCCCCCACTTTCTCCCTAGTACTAAGATGATTTTCTGATTCAGATTTGCTTTGATGAACACCAGAAATACTGTTTGGAGTCAGGCACACAAGACATAGAATCATAGGCTTAATCATTATTTTTAACAGGTTAAAAATACAGGTCACAAGAAAATAGGAAAACAGAGTTTTAAAAAAAACTGTCGAAGATGACATAAGAAAAATAGCATGTATATATTTTATATATAAAAATCTACAGTATTTACTAGTCTCAATACATATTTTAGGAGCAGCTTTCTCTCCGCTGCTTAGCATCCAGTAAATTGTACAGCTCGCTTTTTTATTATATTTATTATTAATCACAAAGCCATGGTTTAAAACTCTGAGATTATTACACAGCCACATTATTATATACATACATTTCTACGCGGCAGTTAAGTAAATTGGAACCACAAAGTACTGTTTGTCAGTTTAAAGCCTTCTTCTCCCCCCTCTTCAACGCAGTACTAAGTAGCTACTTCGCTGCGTTCTGCAGGATTATTTTATTTTATTAAAAGTCATTTGCCAAGTTAATTAAAAATTACATCAGATTCAGTATATACACACACAAAATGTCCATCACGTTGGCTAAATGTTGCTTTCCCCCCTCCTTTTCTTTTTAAAGACTTCGGTACCGTCAACACATTAGCAGCGCCAACCTGCAGCGAGCATAGGCACAATAGCACATTGCTTGGGGGGGGGGGAAGCTTGAACAACTCATGACCCACCAGCCCAATAAATATACATGGGGGCCCAGAAAGGGCGCAATAATCCTCCTGGGTTTATTTTGCTGCCCGCCTGGGCCTGCAGAATTAGGGAGGCTGATAATCGCCTGGGCAGGCTGTGTTTAGCCTTATGGGTCACAAGTTGTACAAACCCAATTTAGAAAAAAAAGTGGGGAGGGAATAGCAACACACTTGTACTTCTAAGTCAGGCTTCCTCAACCTCGGCCCTCCAGATGTGTTTGGCCTACAACTCCCATGATCCCTAGCTAGCAGGACCAGTGGTCAGGGATGATGGGGATTGTGGTCTCAAAACATCTGGAAGGCCAAGGTTGAGGAAGCCTGGTCTAAGTCTTTGCCATCAGTGCAGCCAGATAAACCTTCGCAAAAAAAAAAAAAAAAACACCTCGTGGACAAAGAAGGAGAGGACCTAATCTTTTGAAACCTGGAGACTACCAGTGCTTTGTTTGTTTTCAGCTAGAACAGAATACTCAAAAATACTTCCATCCAACATTTTAGCCAGACGTGGGCAGAATTGTAAGCCAGGGAGTTTGGTTCCAGAGCTTGGGTCAAACTGTACGGCAGCCATACAGAGGAAGGGAGGGGAATGGCAAAACGGAGACATGTGTGCAGTAAGTTGTGCACATCTTTCAACCACTGAGGGATCACAGGGGCTGGAGGCATTTGCTGGATCAGCTTTGGGTCTCTTCCAGGTTCATCATCACTCTTGTGTCTGTGGGCAGGAGTGAAGCATGACGTCAACCCCATGGTTTAGTGTGTGAGAGGACAGAGCCTCCAGAGTGCAGACATAGCTGAATAGGTCAGCTCAAAAATGGGATTCGGCTAGGGGTGATTGGACTCCAGCTCCCATGAGCCTCAGCCCAGCTGTCCACAACATCTGGAGGATCCTAGGCTGGCTACCTCTGGATTGGACCATGGGCACTGGTCCCCTTGCTTCAACTTATGACCAAAACAGACGGGGCAGATCTGTGACCAGAAATCCCAATCAAAAAACAAAACATCTCAGCATAGCCTAAGGACACATGTGTGAATTGAATCAGAACAGCCACGCTGAGGAGGGTGTGTTTGGTACTTCCTACCACCACTGTTATCCTAATCAAACGCATTTAGCTCTGCTTGGGAAGAAGGATAGGCTTAGCACAGGTTCAGATCTCTGGTTATTTCCCGAGGAAGAACTCAAGATGTGAGCATGTGAAGCACTGAGAGAGTAGCGGCTATGCGTGCACTGCTGCCCATTCCCGGACATTTGAGCCAAGCAGGGCAGCTGCTGCTCACACAGGACTGACTCCATGTGCACTTCACCCAAATCAGTGGGATACAGTCCCCCGTAGAAGAGACCTGCTCTCTTCCAGCCACCCTACAAGATTATTTTTCCTCTATCAAAACAAAATGGGAGTGGAGGGAGAAAGCAACATACATACCCACCCACACAAGGTTGCAGGCCCTGCTTGCAAAGCATTTTGCTACAATGAATTTGCTGGCTTCCGATTAACAATGAGGGAGCACTTCGGCATTAGACTTTATACCTACAATCATCTCTTAAGGGCCTAATGGTACAGCAGCGCTAGCCCAATCAAGGGCATAAAAGTCTATTGCTCTCAAGAAAAACAAGACGCTCAAGCACATTGTGGGAATTGACAAGGAAGCAAAGGAGCGAGGGGGTGCCAGAAACACAGGAATACAAATTGAGGTGGGGGGGGGGGACGACGACAATGGCTCAAACGTTTCCGAGACCATCACAAAACCCTGCTGGGATATGAACCGGCCACCTTTGGTGCCGATGTTCCCAAATCATAACTGCGCATTTCTGTCTTTACAAAGGGCAGGCTATGATTTGAACGTGGAAGATTAGTGTTTCGAAGTGCACCTGAGACGGGCTACGAAACAGGCCTGCACAGCTTGCAGCTCACCAAGTCAAATTCAACCCTCCAAAGGCTCAAGGAGCCCATTGTTTACAGCAACTTGCTGGGACAGCAAGAACACGGTGCAATGTGGGCGCTGATGTGGGTGAAAGGAGAAGGAAGGAGAAAGCAGGTGCCTGGTAGGCTACAATCTACAGCCCGTATGCTGCCTTGACTTTGGTGGATCACCAGTTATGGAGGTATATATTTTTTGCAGCCCACCAGAAACACCCTCTGGTTAAGCCACAGTGAAAATTAATAGGCATTCCTGGCAGACTGTGCCTGTGGTACACTCAAAAGAACACTGGATGTGATGGGCAGCCCCGGTGCCAGACACAAAAGGCAACATCAGTGGTGTACGCGACAAAGAGCGATAAAAGCATCTTGGTTTCTCAGAGTTGGTTCTGAAAAGACAAAACTCTTATTATTACAGGAATAGCCGATGCTTTTCAAGGGATCAAAACCTCTTTGTCGGGGCTGATGAAGGGAAATGCCATCTCTAGGAAAGAGTGGCACTTGAAAGACGCCTTTTAATCTTTCCGTTAAACACTGTTCGTGTTGCACTTTTGTGTATTTACAGAAAGCCCTGAAATGCAGCCACCATGGTCAAAAGCAACTCGCTTAATGAACCCATTAAACAAAAGTTGCTTTCTGGCTGCATTTCAGGTAGCCCTCTGTGGGTGTACAGAACATTAGTGTGATGCAGGAGGAGGATACCACATCGCAGCATGCTCACTCCCACCTGCAGCTGACATGCTGGCTTTCGTGCTTGCATCAGGTTGCACACACACAGTGCCTGGCCCACGTGGACCCGAAGCACGTGCTCTGCGAGCCATCAGATTTGAAGGGGACAGATCCTAGGGTTTGGACCAACATACATTGGACTCCACGTGCAAACATGAAATCCAGCACTCAGAAGACAGGCAAGAGTGGCATGGACCAGCACAAACCCATCATTTGCAAAGCATATGTTCCAAATATCTGTGCAGGCCTTCTATAGTCACTGACACTCATGGTATATTAGCAGTTCTGTGTGCGAATGATGCAAGTATTGTATTTGATTGCACCTCTGCCCTCCCCTCCATCAAAACACACATTTGAGATTTAAAAATGAAGACCTAATGCACTGCAGAACTGCCTTTGGATATGCAAATGTGGGTGGCGGGCTCAAATACCATCAACATCCTAGACACATGCTACAATTCGCAGACAGTCCTGATAGAATAAGCACCATTTATTGGCTGTATCAGAATGCCTTTGCTTTGGGTGTCAAACCTTCTCCTTTCTATGTGAACCATAGGCAGTAGCATCTCTGCTCTGGATAACCCAGAATGATCACTCCTGGGTTACTGAGACAATGTATAGAAGAATGTCAAGAAACCCCCATCCCAAGTGAATGGGGTGGTTTATAAATTAAGTTAACAAAAAAAAAAAGAAAAAGAAAAAAAAAGAAAAAAAATGTACTTTGTGGATGCAGTCCATGAATACACACGCCTCCATTTTAGACTCTGTAATTCTGTTGCCACACGTGAACACACAATCAATTGTAGTGTCAGGTCAAAAAGCAGCTTACTGAGGTTTTAGGCAACAAGGTCATTTGCTCAATTAGCTACACGAACGTAACAAACAACCACCATAGTCGTCACGCTGAACATACAAACCTATTGCTATGTTTATGAGAATCCAACCTTTTCGTCCGTTTTCAATGCTCACTTTCAGCTTTCGTCAACATTTAACAGAGCTGTGAAATAGTGTCAGTTTGCATATGCCTTTATCTGAATTGTCCTGTATGAAGATCCTGAATCTTGGATGACCACCAACCCCAGACGTGCAACCATTGCATGCTCCTCCCCTGGTCTTTCAGGTGAGCACGTGTCGTTTCTCAAAGCAGGACTGATTCATGCATGGACAACCCGTCAGTCTGGTGTCTGTAGTGGTGTGCAGGGCTTGGGGAACTAGGATACTGATAGTGTGGCAAGCCGAGCTCTTCAGAGGGTGGGGAAGTCCTGTATCTTATAGGGCTATCCACTGAAATGGTGGAGAGATTATGTTCTTTAACAGGTGTCGATTGAAAAGGCGGGTATCTCCTCAAGTTAGCCAAGTGGCTTCGGCTACCATCTTGACTCCAGGACTGCATGTAAGGATCAGGCCACTTTCTACTGTCTGGCAAATAATCTGCTGGGGGGATTACAAATCTGGTGGCATTGGGCGATTTAGGTTTGCTTGCATAAGTTTCAACTGGGAGGACTTCGATTCGACTAGAAG